CTCTGGTAATTGCATCTAAATTCCTTGGTAAATTTCAGATCTTAGGTTTTTTTTTGTTTTTTCTAATATAGTCTAAGCGATCTTTTTCTACAGAAGCATACGCATCAACTATATATTGTTGAAATAGTCTGCCACTTTGATGAAGAGTATTGCCTTGTATTCTACGTTCTTGCAATTGACAGGAACAAAATTCTCGTATGGAAATTCTTTTTCTTTTTGATCTATTATTTGAGCAATTTATATTATATTTCATATATGTGCTATAACCGTGTTCTCCGTAGGAAAATAGTAAAGGCTATTGAAGAGTCATATAACATGGATGTAATTTTATAATTCTTTGTAAATTGTTTGTTTTGTTTTGAATTATAATATCTCTTCCCTATTCGTATTCGCCGATATCTCCAACTATTAGACCACTTATGTCAGTCGAAGTAAATAATTCATATTGATTACTATATGTATTTCATCGTCCTATAAGTCTTAGTTTCATAGATGGTATCTCATCTTTTTTGTATATATCATTTATCAATATTCAGAATAGTTTGACTAATTTGTTTGTACTATCAAACATTTTGATCAAATTTTCAGTTATAAATGTAATTAAGTTTTTTGATTGCTCATCGAATGAAAATGAACTTATTCGATTTTTTATTTCGTTTTCTGTGTCATATATATATAATTGTATAAATTTTGGTGAGTTTTTATCAATTGGTAATAGAGATCCCATAAGATAATGTATTTGTCCACTTATTTTAAAAATATATGGACCATTTGAGTTTCTTGCATCTGTTTCTATATTAGGTCTAAATGATGTAAATGCAAACATGGAATTATATGTGCGAATATTTTTTTCAAAAATGTGTACTTATTAGTCCTTCATGATAGTCAAGTAACTTATCTAATATAGGAGGTGTTTTTTCAATCAGAGGTAAAATAATTTTTCCTTCTTTGCAGCAAAGATTAAATTTAGGAAGACTACTGGTTTTTATTCGCTCGTTAAACCAAAACAAAGCACCACAATGACAACAGGTACAAGAACAATCGACGAGGTCGATGTACATGTTGGTAGGAAATGTGAAGGAAAAACAAAAATGATAATAGTGATGTATATAAAGGGTTACCATTGTTGTTATATAAAGATTTTAGAATAGTTGGAATGTAATAAATTAGAGGACGTTTGGTTGGAAGATTCAAACCATGTGATTCGAACCATTTTCGATTTACGTGTATTTTTTATGAGAGAAAATACTGTAGCGAACCACGAATCATGATTCGAATCAGGGAACGAATCCCTCTACCAAACATCCTCAGATAGAGAAGAAAATTACGTCTTTTATTGTGATTTCTAGATGTTGAGGGAAGTGATGACTGAAGAATTTCTTCTTGAGATTGGATATGGCCCAACATTGTATCATATCTGAACCGAGATGCCTGTCCTAATGCAGTGTCAGTAATTTGATTTTGTTGATTTTGGGATTTGCCATTTATGTTTCCAAAATCTTGATTGAATTAGGGGATGCTACGATGCATACATTGACCCGATCGCGATGTGTTGGGATTTGTTCCCTAAATTCTGTATTGATTCTAATCGTTTTATGATTGGCATTATTTTGGGAATGATTGGCTGGTGATTGTGTTTGAGAATAGATGTACAGCTGGCAAGCTCCTTATGGAAGGTTTCTGTAAAAATCTAGAAACTTAATTGAGTTACTGTTTTTGAAAAGTCAACTATTGATCCTAAGATGGTAAATTGTTAATTGGTGATTTGATTGATATTTGATTGAGTTTTCATAGCTGGATGATCTTCCTCTGTCTCCTAAGAACGTGTCCATGTTCATATATCAGTTTCGGGAAGGTTTCAGCATTATAGCATATTGATTCGGACTGATTTTGAGAAAGTCGACCTTGACAGCTATGTTGCAATTACTGTTGCAACAAGGATCTGCAACAGATTTGGTTCAGTGAATTAATTAAAAAAGTGATCAAGCTGTTAACTTTCTGCCTATTTATTCAAAGAGTCTCTTGTATCTCTGTACACATTTTGATTAGTTTTGTTGGGTTGTGAGAGAGGTGAGCACTTGTATTCAAGAAAAATGATTTGAGTGTTTTTCGGGAGAAAAACTAGTTTGAGGGATTCTAATGTTAAAAAGTCGAGAGGATCTCGCTGTTCAAATCTATTAAAAAATTACAAGTTCATAGGCGTCTTCTTAGAGAGGGAGTCTCGAGTAGATTAAGTCCAATTGAATTGTAAAAGAGTTCTTAGTGGATTGTTCATCATCTAGGTGTGGCCCCGCAGAGTAGGTTGTTATCGAACCGCGATACCATTTCTCTCGTGTTCTTTTATTTTACATTTCTCCATTATTTATATTGTCTTATAAATTATTAAAAGACTCAAACCGGTACCAATACGATGATTTTTTTTTAGTTCTTTTCTTCTCCATATCTTTGCACAATATGGAACTATTTAAGTTACAAAGAAGAGCGTAGCTGGTATCATTGTTCGTATCTTGGGTGGAATTGTGTTTGGTGTTGGCTTATGATATGGAATTCGGGTATCTAATACAAACGTAACAAATAGTAGAACTTATTTCTGTTGGCAAAGTCAATATTGGACATATGACTTTACTTGTTGCCTTTTCTATCTTGATGTTCCAAAACCAAACTTATTTTGATCTATTTCTGGTGGTATAAAGGCAATTACACTTTATCTATCAGAGGTGGCACCGGCGCGTTTTCGAGGAGGCTTAAACTCAATGTTTCAGTTGCAACTTTACTAGGAATCTTAACGGCAAACCTCTCAACAATTAGGCTCAATTATACTGATGATAAGTGGAATTAGAGGCTTTCTCAGGGCTTTAGGCTCTCTTTTGGCTTAGTTGCTATACCTGCCTTCTTGATGATAACAGCTTTTTGCAACGGGGATCAAAAGAGGGAGGGAGAGAAGTTTTGGAAAAAATCTGAGCAACTGAAAATGTAGATGCGGAGCTTAAAGACGCAGCAAATACAAGTGAATTTGCTAGTACAGTTGAGCATCCATTTAGAAGCATTTTTCGGAGAAGGTACAGACCTCAACTAGTTATGGCAATCCTGATACCGATGTTCCAGATCCTTACTGGCAGAAATTCTCCTCTCTACTAGGCACCAGTATTGTTTCTTAAGATGGGGTTCGAAGAAAAAAGCAGCCTTCTATTCCTCGGCTATAATTGGAGCAGTTCTGGTCTCATCAGCACTATCATCTATGGCTACGGTAGACAACAGATTTGGTCGAAGAGCTCTACGCATTGTTGGTGAATACAAATGACCATATGCCAAAGTAAATTTTCACTCACTTCATAAACATTGTGATGTAGTGAAGCATAGCAGGCAACCGAAAGTCAAACAACTTCAGAAACCATAGAAAGAAAAGTACTTAACATTTACTCCACAGTCCACAATTTTAATCATCAACATCTCCAAATTATCAGTCCTTTGACACGTAACAAAAGAACAGAGGTAGCAACATCTTACCTGTGTTCTCAACTAATTTTCACTCTCTATGTTCAACGTCAAGCAGATTATAATTGCCACAATCTTGGGAGTCAAGCTCGGAGACCATCAGGATCTATCAAGCAACTTGTCCATGTTGGTGATGGTTGCAGTTTGCCTCTTTGCTTTGGCGTTTGGCTGGTCATGGGATCCACTTGCTTGGACAATACCAAGCGAAATATTCCCATTAGAGACAAGATCAGCTGGGCATTGTATTGGCCGTAAACCTTCTGGTGACTTTAATTATTGAAGAGTCTTTCCGTCCTCTACTGTGCCCCTTCAGATATGGAGTCTTCCTCTTTCATGCTGGCTGGATCGTCGTCATGACCATATTTGTCTATGTGTTCCTCGCTTAAAACAAAGGCGCACCGATCCAAGAGATGACTTCTGAGTGGGGAAAGCACTGGTTCTGGACGAGAATGTTGCCTGCATATCCGGAAGTCGATGGCAACAGGAGGCCAAGAAATTTAGCATAGTTACCATATGCACTTTCGTGAACCTGCATTACAAGTCACCTCCCTATATGATCTTCAGAATCCATTAACGTCTTGTTTGAGGATTGTTTTACTTTTTAGTAAATTCATTTGTTGTCTTATATGTAAATAGGATATACTGCTGCATTACAGAGTGCTCAGCAACTATAGTCAAAAGCGTTACAAAATCATGGGCAAAATACAACAAATATGGCAACGATAATTAATAGAGACAAGGCCAATTACAAGGTTATGCTAAAACAAAAACAATGTAAAATTATCAGTTTCAAAAATGCCAGCCTTTCCCATCAAGCACCACTTTTGCGCGCCAAAAAAACAACCTCACTACTTTCGACAGCCAAGTACAGCGACAAAATCAAACCTTTTAGAACGGAAATAGAAAGCAATAGAGCTCTAGCCGATAGTCCTTGCCGCTATGCCATCACCGGACTGTACACCTCCTAATTTAGACTAGCTTTATTATTGTTTATTTTTTCAGTTAATCTAATATGTTTTTAGTCATCAGGAAAGTCCAATAATTGCTGTTGTTTTTTTCCTTCTCCTTTATTTTGCAATGGACGTTCTTATGTAGTAAGTAGGATTAGGAAAACTTTAACATATAACATCTCAGAACAAACTAAAAATAAAAGATTTGGATCTACAAATTAACTTCATACAAAAGCAACAATACTCCGATGATGCAAAACAGAGCAAACATCATCGTAAAGCAAAACCATGTAACCTATTTTACTTCATCAACTGGAAAAAAAAAAAAACAAAAAAAAAAGTAAACATCGAAAATGACTGGAATACAGTAAGGTGGTACTGACAACCAACAACATATCCCTAATGCGTGGATATCTAAAAACCCACTCGAATCCAAGGCAGATAAACCTACACCGACATTACTCCTGAATAACCGCTACATAAACTGTAGATACAAACGACAATATACAAAACAACCCTAACTTCCTATTCATCTTTCATGAAACATAAACCCTTAAAAAAAAAAACCCCCCCAAAAAAAAAAAAAAAAAAAAAAAAAAAAAACTTCCTCTAACGACGCTAATAAGAAGATCTGAAGATGTTATCGTCTGCTTAAACTCAATTACCTTCCTCTTGAAAAAATAAAGGAAGAAATTGAGGTAAATTGAACGATCAGAAAAACTCGGTGAAGAATCCAATTCTCTTAAATCCACCAACGGAACAGTTGTAAGCGCAGAGCTTGAACCGGAAAGCGTTTTTACTTTTATTCTTCTTCTTCTTCTTCTTCATTGTCATCGACAAGGTCACGCCAAATCAAGTTGCAACAGCCGTCGCAAATCGGTCGTCGCCGCGTCGTTCTTTCCGAGAAACGCCGGCAGCGGCACTGAGCTGGGCGGCGGTGAGGGAAAAAAGGCCCCCGATCCAGCGTAAAGACCGTCAGCGGAAGCAACAACTTTGTGATTCGAAACCCTAACCTGCTTCTTCACCGTCTCGGGATCCGGACCCAACCGATCCGTCGATCCGAGGACCAAATCCGCGCCGGCTCCTACCTTCTTCGCTGTAGACTTCCGATTGCTCTCGCCGGCGACAACTCCGACGCCGCGGTTGTTCCTCGCCGGACTGAGGCTCAACGTCTCACCTCGCTTCAGAATCTTGACTTGTCCCATGACCAAATTGTTGGCTGGAGCCTTCTCCACCAGGGCTCCATATCGCGATCGACTTGGATCACGATCTTGCGGAGATGATTGGAACCCTACCGGACTCCGCTTTCGCCGGCGGGATTGAGGATCGCTAGAGTTGGGGCTCAGAATCGGAAAATTAGGTTTCCGGCGCGATCTGAACGGGGCGGTCAGCTTCAGAGACTCGTCACCGAATCTGCCTCCGCGGCAGTCCTGAGAGCGGAGAACCGCCATGGCCATATTCTCGAAGGGTGGGGGAAAAAAACGGCAAGGAAAACTTAAAAAGGGAAGGAAAGAAGGAAATTTGCGTTCTTACATACGTAACGCGTAGTGCAATGTGGAAAAAACAAATGCGAGGGGGGTATTTGTAGAGGTAAGCCTTGAGGGGTTCTTGTCTTGTAAAGCACGTGACGACTCGGTTCTTTGGAAACCGCCTTAAGTTTTGGTTTTGGGAAACCGCCTCAAGTTAGCTTTCCGGGTGGAGTACGCAGATAGATGCGTGGAGGCCTTTGTAAAAATAACTAAATAAAAAAATTTTATTAATAAAATAATTTTTTAAAAATTTTTATTTGTAAAATGATTTTCTGAGAAGAAAGAAAAACAAAAAAAAAAATTAGAACTTCACCCCACCCACAGATTTACTGTTCAGTTCGATCCGAACCGCCACGTTCTCGACCTTCTCGAGCCTCGACGTCGCGATCGTGAACAGCGCGATCAACAGCACGTTCAGAGCCCTGAACCTCGCCGGCGTCGTCGCCAGGGCCATTCTCGGCGGCCACGTTCTCGAGCCTCGACGTCGCGATCGTGAATGACGCGATCAACGGCACGTTCAGAGCCCTGAACCTCGCCGGCGTCGTTGCCAGGGCTATTCTCGGCGTGATTCTGGAAGTAGGTCTCGGCCTTTTGGGGAGAGAGAAAGAAAAGAAGAGAGAGAAATGGAGTGCTGCCATTAATTCCAGCGAAAGGAAACTGACGGGAGGAGCTACTATTAATTCCGACAGAAAGAGAGCGACGAGAGGAGAAATAAATAAAATTAAAATTAAAAAAGTCATTTTTTAAATTTTATCTTTTCACTTAATTATTTTAACCAAATTCTCCAGGTGCGTCACAGGACCATCTGATTGGACGATTGATGGGAGATTTGTCGGAATTGTTATTCTTGGTCTCTAACAAATGGATTGGACGTGGCATCTTGTTATTGGATAACTAAGCATAGTTAAAATAGCACTCCATACATAATAATATCACCCGGCGCACCTTACCACTGACATTGAGGATGTGGAGCTAAAGAGACCGTTTTTTAGTTTTGACAACTAAAGTCATGAAAGCAAAGGAAGACAAGGCCGTAGTGAGAGAGAGATAATTATGTTGATAACGGTAAGAGAAGCTTCTTCTTCTTCTCCGCTTTGCTTCTCTTCCATTTCTCATGTAAATCCCAAGTCCTCTCCGAGGCTGAAAACTTCTCTCTGTCGGGCTAGTTTGTCAGTTCAGAGAAAACCTCTCTCCGCCAAGTCATGGAACTTGGGCCTTCTCTCCCACAGGTTTTTGCACTCTTACCATTTTCAGCTCTCTCTTTGTTGATGTAATTTATGGCCACCATTTTCTCTGAATTGGATCATCTGGGGTTGGGTTTTGTTAGTTTTCCCCAAATGGGTATTGTGTCTTTGGTTTTATTTTTTTATTTTTTTATTATTTTGTATATAAAGAAAACGCAATGGACCAAGAAAAGTAAGTTTCATGTGATCGAGGTTGATGGGTGAGAGTAGATAGATAGAATTGTGTGTGGAAAATGCCCATTCATTAGATTTAGGAGCTGAATTTCATATTGCCCGTTTCCTTAAAAAAAAACCTGGTTAAATGAAATGTTATGAACCTAATGATGCTCTAGAATCTTCTTAAGGACTTGATTAACAGATTATTTATGGAATGCGGAAACCAGAAAGGAGGTAGCTTATACGAAGATTGTGGTACGGATTAAACGCCATACACATTAGGTTTATAGTAGTTCACCCGAAAGCTACATCTATTTTCAGTCGCTGCAAAATATCGAATTTTATTATGATTGAGAAGAGGATTACAATGAATCACCCATCTCACGCCTCTTAGATTTTTTGTATTTCTCTCTAAACTCATTCTCAAACCCGCCCCTTCCCCGCCCTCTCAGTACAAGTGTAATAAGGCCATCCGCGTGAGAACTTTGCGTCAAGGAGATAATTAGGCTCCATACACACTCAACAGATTGTGCATTTGAAATGCATGAAAATAACCATACCTGGTGATTGATAGTCTTGTTCATGAGGGGTTTCTGATTTTGAAGCAAAAATAGTGGCTGAGATCCTTGGGGTACTAATGTAGGCTGCCGATGTCTTTTCTTGCAATCTATTATAGGACTATGGTCATCAAAATTGTTTTCATTTGCTTCTACCATGTATATTGTGGTTTTTTCATATTTGTGATCTAACAGACCTTTATAAGCTGACAAGTAAGATCATGGTTCAGAAGACTGTCTTCCAATTATGTTTTTTTCATTATCCTTCTTATTTTTCTAAATGAGTTTGAGTAGCATCTTCACCCCATTTGATGTGTCCATAATAATTCATAGCTCGGATACTTTAACCAACCAACCTAGGTAATGAGACTTTCCTTAAAAATCAGAAAATTATTCTTCTCACAGTATATATCTCTTATACACCTAGTTTTTTTTTTTTTTTAATCTTTTGTGGGAGGGTCTTACAACCTGGTTTTATTTAAGGTTTTGAACTATTTAGTAGTTCCTGATAGCGGGAAACCTGCATTTTTAGTGCTTTCTTATCTTGAACATGAACTGCAAAAGCATGGATGGTCATTAGACAGTCTTGGTAATATTCATCTGATCGGAATAACTTTTCAGCTCTGAAGGCTCAGTTTTTGATCCCTTGGGTATCAATTCAGATGTATCTTCTGGTCTAAGTGCGACATGGGAAAGTTTTATTGGCTTATTCTCACAAACATTTGAGAGTGCTTCTGGTACAAGAAATGAGAAGTCTTCAGCTCGAGGGGTGGCTGGTTTGTTTTCATGATCCATAAAATAGTGAATAAGCTCCTTAAAGTTATTCAAGTTAGAAAAATTTGTGTTGCTCTTTGCAGTTGATTAGTGTACATTGATATTGGCAGCATCAATTGAGGATAGTTCCATTGATTTTGGGGACTTCTTCAAAGGCCCACTTCCGGGGAAGTTTCTCAAGCTTTTAGGATATTTGGCCCTCTCCCGACTGGGAATATACATACCTCTTGGTGGGGTTAATCGAGATGCTTTTGTAGGAAATTTGGATCAGAATAGTTTATTGAGCACTTTAGATTCTTTTTCTGGGGGAGGCATTGGTAGACTTGGGATTTGCTCTCTTGGTATTGTTCCCTTCATCAATGCACAAATCGTCTTCCAACTTCTTGCACAGATCTATCCGAAATTACAGGATCTTCAAAAAAGAGAAGGTGAAGCAGGAAGAAAGAAAATTCTTCAGTATACTCGATATGCTTCTGTTGGGTTTGCCATAGTACAGGTGAGGAACTCGAACCAACTTTTGTTGCAAACAGGGTTATAATTTACAAGTTATGGATATTATAACATTTTAATCAATACATTCTAATGTATTTTGATAGTATTATTTGAACCCATTCACAAAAGACAACAATATTCTTGCACCTTAAGACAACATCCTTTAATTACGTGAAACAATATTTTTTAAGTTGGTCTGTAAGAAATGCTATCGGCGAATGCAATATCTGGAATGCAACCAAAGAAAAGAAAAGCTTGTACTGCGATTTGGATTTTATTTTTTGTTTAAAGAGAACAGAAAACCAAAAGTTGAACCAAAGTGATTATGGAAAGTTTATGTCTTGAATAGTTAATTGATGCAAAACAAGGAAAAGTTGATCTAGCATGAAAAACAGTTTTCTCTCATTAGGTTTAGACAGTGGACGCAGGGAAGCGGTCGATTTTTTCTTTTCTGGATTTTAAAATCTGTAATTATAAATCCCAATAAGTCCTTGAACACTTTGATTATAACATTACTAATCTGTTTGTGATTGTCATGACAGGCGATTGGCCAAGTGCTCTACCTTCGTCCTTATGTAAATGACTTCAGTACACAATGGGTTCTCTCTTCTGTTACCTTATTGACACTTGGCTCAGTGCTAACGACGTACATTGGGGAACGAATCTCGGACCTTAAACTTGGAAATGGTACATCTCTTTTGATATTCACAAGCATTATCTCCTACTTGCCAGCATCGTTTGGTCGAACTGTTGCACAGGCTCTTAATGATGGCAACTATGTTGGACTCGCCGTCATCGTTATCTCCTTCTTTCTGTTAGTCTTTGGAATCGTATATGTCCAGGTAAGTTCTACTTGTATTATATACCGTTCTCAGCCTTATGGCTAAGATGAAGTGCTTCTTGTTTTTTCTAAAGGAATAAACATTCAAAATAATCTAATAAAAGGTTTCAGGAAGCAGAGAGGAAAATTCCACTCAACTATGCCTCAAGATACAGCAGTAGAAGTGGAGGGCTGCAAAGATCCGCTTACCTTCCCTTTAAGGTCTGGATTCCGGTCTTTTTTCTTCTTTGATGGACTTTTAAAAGGTTCAGATGCTTATCCGTGACTGGTGCGAGTACGAACACCATTAAAAAGGCCTGCAAGTGATTGTAACTTGTGCCTAGAGAGAGCCTGTTTAGTCACACTTAAGGACAATAAATAAATAATTTCTCTCTAAGGTTTAATGGAGGAGCCTTTTGAGTGACATCCGCTGTATTTTGGCACTTTCTTTATTCCCCATCTAATTTAATTTCACGGTCATCATACCTGATCAAGTTCTTTTACCTTTTTCATTGAAAATACCTGCCTATTTCTTAATTTTTGTGATCCTTGGTTTTGTATTATTCATGGTTCATCTTCTATTATGTGGCACAACATGTTATTCACCTAGGATGTTTTTCCACAATTTATTTCCTTTCTCTTTTATTTCTTATTTTTGGTCTTTGGTTTATGCTAGGATGACTAATATTTGTTGCAATATATTCTTGGATTCTTTTTGTTCAATCAAATATAATTGCCAAGCTATTTAACTAGTAGCTACTTGAAAATTGCAGGTAAATAGTTCCGGAGTGATGCCAATTATATTCTCTACATCATCTTTAGCACTTCCTGGTACACTGGCACGCTTTACTGGTTTAGCTGCATTGAAGAACGCTGCATTGGCTTTATATCCTGGGGGTAAGCTTCATAACTTTTGTTGCAATAAGTATTTTTGAAGCTGGACAAAATACAAGCATGATCATTCTATCATTTTTTTTT